GGCCCAGCATACTGGGCACTGTACTTTCACATACCAGAAGCGAATATCTGCACTGAGGAGCTTTCAGTGTAAGTATGGACAAGATGCAAAAGGAAAATGAGAGAATGGAAAAACAAGAGGATGGGGACAAAAGAAGAGAAACCAGTACCCAAAATCCTCAGCCCTGTCCCTCTAGCAGGGAAGGTTTATTTTAACACATCTGTCTGTCTGAGCTGCTGAGTACCAATTAAAAGAAAGACCGTCTGTCATGTAGTGGCTTCTAAATCAGGTAGCATAAGAGCAATCCTCCAGAAGAACCCCTCAGATGCTGAGATTGCCCAAATGAGGGAAGAAAGCTCCGGTGTACACAGAAGGGACTCGATTCTCACAAGCTACAAGACACTGGGCTGTCAGATGGCCAGACACTGGCAGCCAACTGCCACTGCTTCAGGAAGTATGCAAAATTACCTGCCTCAGAGCAAAGAGTAAGGGAACTACACTTCAGGCATACATGATTTGCTTGTGTTTCTGAGATACTTGGAAGGGTGAGAATAAGAGAGATCAACCCCCTCCTGCCACCCTCTCCTATCTGCTCATTCTCTTCATTCCTGTTAGCTCATGTTGTCTTGCCAGATTCTCCTCCACTGGATAATCAATTCTAGTTCTAAAGGATGGAAGTAGCATCCCAGCTCCACTGAGATCAATGAGAATGTTACACTAGGAATCCAAAGCCTACATGTTGAAAACTAATCAGGTGAATCTGGGTGTTCACTTGAGGCATTTCTCAGGCCCCGATTCTCAGAAGCTCTTGTGTGCCCTTCAAGGCATCTCAAGTTGGGCATCTAAAATTACCAATTGCTTTCAAAAATCTTTGACAAATATTCCAGACATTGCCCCTTTTCTGATGCTAAACAGAGACTGTATGGTTTTGGTTTTCATTTCTGTGGGTAAAAGTCAAGAGACTGGTGGCAGCTTGGCATAGTTTCTTTCACCTCTGTGAAATACGTTGGAGCAGTTTCAGGGGGTCAGGCCACAATGTAACCTAGCTGTAAAACAATGCTAAATCAAATGTGCAACATTTCAAAAATAAAAGGAGTTGCCAAGTCCCTCTCATCACATGCTGCATTCCGATCACATACCAACAGCTAGCAACGCTGCTCTCCAAAACATAGGTAACTGATGATAACCATGACTTTGCCTGACTGCAGCCACCCAACAGAATTCTGTGAAATGGCTCCTAGGTCCCTGTATCTGCAGAGAGGGCAAGGTAGTAGAATACCAGTCTACCTTGATTTGATTAGCTGCTGCATGGGGCACTGCATGGTGGGACTTCCAGTCTCCTAAAGCACAATGCTGTATTGTAAGAGAGTAGAATGGACTTGATCCTGCAAACTAGCAGCAAACACTGGCTCCTGGCATGTTGGTGACCCGTCCTTCATTGGACAAAGCTTGGGCTTTACGCTGGGAATGGGGCATACCTACAGGAAGCTAACAACATCTTGGGACCTCTCCCCATTCTGAGGATTCACTTAGTTTGTATTTGTTGTTCCCATTACTATTCCAGTAGGTAAGCATGTAAAATAGAATGCCCCAAAATCCAGCCTGAGCTTTCTGCTCGGACAAATGGAAAGGTAAAAAATCCAAATCCAAGTGGGAAGGGGCATTGAGGCTGAGCATGTTAGATTTGGACCCCTGGGTGGTAGCAGTTCTGATCCCATCTGTTAAATGTCTGTAGGCCTAAGCCTTTTATCACTGAGCAGAGATCAGTCTGAAGGCTTTCCCCCACCTCTCATCGCAAACCACATCTCTAGACCCCAAGTCTTTGTCTCCAAATCCCTCTTCAGCTGCTGCCATATCACATCTCACATTTTCCATTCTGCTGAGCAGGGACTCAGGGCTCCTGTTCTTTGCACTGCTGGACAAAGACAGCCTGTGGCTCTTAAAGGCACAGTTCCTCCACTTGGATGGCTCACAATCTGAGCCAAGAGACTTGTGCAGCCTCTTTGGAGAAATGTTTTTAATCAAAGCCTGGTACTTGGGGAGTGCTAGGACAGATACACAGAGCACAGTTCTCTTGTGTATCCACAGTAGGAGCTAGAGAGAGATCAACTGAGTACTCCCTCTGACTCTCCTGATCAGAAAGCAGAAGACAATTCAGCATCTGGGTGTAAAGGGATTTCTGCATCAATAACTATCATCTGTACTGAAATATACAGACTGCATGGTGTTTCTAGACCTATGTAGCACAGGCAGGGATACATTCACATACACACAGGACTGTTCTCAGCCTCTAGTGCAAACCCTTCCCCCCCCCACCCCGACCCCACCATATCAAAAAATTATCCATCTGATCCTAGAGGCAGAGCAAGAGAACTGGCATGTTCTAGAACATCAGCTGGCAATGCTTTGCAGCAGCAGAATGGAATAGCCCAATTTGGACCCAGCTGTCACCCCACTACTCCACTCCCTAACATTGCTTCTAGCCACTGCCTAGTTGCTGTGTGCCATGGAAAGCTCCCTACTGCTAAACCACAGCACAGGCAAGCACCCAGCTGAGGCCTCCACTGCCAATCACTGCTGAAGCCCCAGCAATGTGGGCTGAATCCAGCCATAGGTTGCCAGCTCTAGAAAACCTAACCCTGGTATGTTTTGCTTCTGAATCTCACTCTGTCCAAACACCCAAAATTTAAAGCGGGCAAGAATCTAAATAGCTCTAGCTTTAACCCAACTTAGTCAAGAAAGATAAAGTCCCAGGCCCCAAAAGTCAGCAACCTCCATTTAAAGTCAGTTAGAAAACACGATGAAATAATGACAGTGTTAAAAGGGACCTCTAGGTTGCAAAGGAAAAGGTATTAGAAAACATGTTTGTCCCATCTAAATATATCCTTTTTATAAATAGGACCAAGGAGGGGCACAAAACCAGCTGGCAAATGTCTAATGAGTTGTACTTTGCTGGAGACATCATACCTTGATGATATACATAAATAAACTGTATATACTGAAAACATAACAGTACTTTAAATCCTATAGTCTGAAATGGACCAGAAGGTAAACATGATGAAGGAGGCTTCCTTTCAAATGTGCCATTGGGTGAAATCTGTCCCACTCCAAAGATCAAGGATTCAGTCTACAGCTACTTTTATAAGCCCTAGAAAATAAGTCATCTCTGGCAGTGATGATTTATCAACATACAAAGGACAAAGGAACTTTTAAGTCAAGAGAGTTGCTTCCAGCCTCACATTCTACCTCAGCCAGCAATTTGGGACTTGATGCATCATGCCCTAAGTGAGTTCACTCACCTGCACTAGGCAAGAGGGTGGACTAGATTATCATAATGGTTATTTCTGGCCCAAATCTACAAGTCTAAGCCCTCCTTTCAATGAAGATGGAATGTCAAGATGATGAAAGATAGATAAGCAAGCCCCCTCCAGCACAGTATTAACCACTAGTGCAAATTAACTTAGTAACTTTCAATGCAAAGATGGACATCAGTTTCTGGTCTCTGATCAGCTGCAGTGCAATGCACCACTCCTGGCAGCAACAAGTTCACGTTTAATACAAATTAAAATTCTGAAATCCACTGCTTATAAGGAAGACTCCAAAGTCAGATAGGTGTCATCAGAAATGCTGGTACCTGTACACAGCCCCATCCACTCATAAGCTCCTCCTCTGGGCAATACACCTGTATTACATGCCCATTAGAACTTCAGAAATGCAGGAACTGCACTACCCGGGGGGGCCTGAAAACAATCCATGCATCAGGGAGAGCTTCTAGCTTGACCCTAAGAAGTATGGGGACCCAAGTTCACAAAGCCTCCAGAATTTAAACTTTTCAGTTTAAATAGAAGTCTCCTGTCTTCTACAACTGCAAAACAACCCTTCCAGTGTGACACAAATGGAACGGACAGGGTGCTGATCTCCAGAGTCTGCAGACAGCTCCAGAGCTTCTGCTCAATTTGGTTTCACACTTCTGAAGAGGCCTAAAGAGCACCATGGGGGGAAATCTAGAGTATGAATCTGAAAAGTGAAGTCCCAAACAGGAGGAAATCAGTCCAACAATAAATCCAACATTCTCTCTTCCAGCCCCAGGGATGGCAAAGCAGACCAAAGATCAAGCTCATCTCCACAGCCTTGTCCCAGACTTCACTGGCCCTTCCACCCCATCAGTCTCTCCTTTCATAGAAAACCGGGGTTGGAAGGGACCTCAGGAGGTCATCTATTCCTAACACTGGCTAGCCAGTCCAATTTAGTCCTACTACTCAGGCCTAATAAATTACCTAATCCCTACTCGATACACATCAGTCACCAGAAAGATCATGGGAAAATCTGGTGTGTAATACTTTAAGCTGTAGCAAAGGAACTATTTTCAAATACATTCTCAAATTCCATAGGGTTCTCATCTGTATCTTTCCAGCTTATTGTAAATCAAAGCCTTTAAGCTCCTGCCAATTCTGGCAAAGGTTTGGACACCAGCTGTGAACTACAGTTAAGGGCCTCGGCAAGCACCTGCAGGCATGTTACCTGTGCACGGTGCTCCCTTTGGGACTGATTTTGCAATACATCTACTAGCTTCTGGCCTCAGTACCTGAAAATGGGCCTGCCTTCCAACCAGAGGCACCAGTAATAATAGTGCCAAGATATAAAATGAGCTTTCCAAAACACGGCCAAGCTTATAATACAGTTCTCCAGGTCAGAGACCTGCCACAGAAAACCTTCACGCAAAACCATGTATTTTAGTGATTTAGGGATAGGAAATGCTTGCCCCTCAACAGTCCTATCCTTCTTCTTTAAAAGACAATCAGAGCAGCTCCCGCAGCTGAAAGACACTGCATGCCGGCCCCAAGCACCAGCTCATCGCCAGTCTCAAAACATGTTAAGACAGCAAAGACGCAAGCCTGGGAGATGGCGGAAGGGAGCAGAGGCACCAGGTCAGCAGCACAAGACGAAGGAACAGAAGAGTGCAGAATTTGGAAAACTGGTCCCTCAGTGCAAGGGGAGTGGTGCCAGAGGACTGGACGCACCTGTGTTGGCTCACCCAGGCATGGCGGGCCCAGACGGTGTGGGCACACACCAGGACTGCACCAGGCACAGGCAGGAGGGCGCAGCAGCGGGACCGAGCGCAGCAACCCGGGCCCCAAGGATGTGCGGGGCGTTGCCGCGGCAACGGCGCCTCCAGGCTGCACCCGCACGGGCCCGCTCCGCCCGCGGCCTCCGCGCCAGGCCCTCCTGCCGACCAGGAGCGCCGGGGGCTCCGCCCTGGCCCGGCCG